GCACTCCACTTGATGGTGGCAGCTACCGTGTCTTAAGGACTGACGATGTCCATGAATTATGTGCAACTGTTCAATGGGCACTGGGCATTTGGGTCTACTCCTGTTTTATTGATTGAACCCGATTTTCAACCACTTCCTATCTATAATATCCTAGCATTCTGCACTGCATGTGGTAGGTGGTCAATAACTGCTATAAAAATAAAATCAGACCAGTAACTATTGCTTGTATTCATAATAAAACCTTTATATAATTATAAAAAGATAAAAATACTGAACAAATCAAAATTGGTTATTGTGCTAGTTGAAAGAAAATAGAGGTGATTTTTGTTTCAAAATTATTTTTTGTTGTAATATGTCCTTCATTTTTTCTATAGGTCTTACGTATGCTAGTCTTATTTCCCAATCAGGTGGTCAATCCTTGAGACACGGCACCATATCAGAGGGTTTTCTTTGGAATGGTAGTGACTATATAATTGTACAACAGATGCTCAACAAAATATTATTCATTTACTAATACTCTGGATTCTCTTTAGAATTCATCACTAAAATTTAATTCATTACTAAGAGAAGGATACTCTGTTTTTCCACTAATCCTTTTTAGTAATAAGTTATACTTTATTGTTACTACATGTAGTAATAAAGTGCATCAAAGGCTCTTCTTCGATAATTGTTCTTTCTCCTTTATAAGCTGGCTGCATCGCAGAACTTATTACCTCTAGTTCATAGTCACGGAAATTGAGAAAGAGGTTGGTAAGTGGTTTGGACCCCATTTTGCTTAGCTACAGCCTGAGGAAGAGTGTTTATACCCACTGACTTCCAACAGAGGATCGTTAAAGAAAATGAAGGATGAAAAAGACCAAAAAAAAAAAAAAAAAAAAGAGCCAAGAATTCCTATTAGGAATCTCTTCCTTTTGAGATAGAGCTGTATAAAGTTTCTCTGGGAAAAATCATAATGCTTTAGGGCAAAAGGGCCTGAGGCAGCAGTTTCACTGACCCTACACTTAGACATAGCCCGGATGAGGATGCTGACAATTGAGAAGGGGCTAGCTCCCTGTTCCCTGCTAGTAAACAAGACTTGTTGGTTTGGGCTTCTTTACAGTCTGAAAGAGTCAGGTTCCCATCAATGGATAACACTTCTGCTATCGACACCAAAGGGCGGACTAAACTGGTAAGTAAACTCTGAGAGTCTTTGGCAGAGGTTGGTTAGAAGAGGGTTCAACAAATCCAAGTGTCAGAATTAAAGCATCTTTCTGATCGACTGGCCGAATACTACTTTAAAAAGCTTCTTCAAATCTGAATTTCTAAGGTTTGGTAACATGCTATATCTGAACAACTCACATATTGTAGATAAAGTCTATTATATGTACAGTATTCATGATATGAAAAAAACTAAATGAAAAGAGAAAGGAGAAAAAAATCTAAACAGAGGCTGAAAAGGACCAAAAAAGACAAGTTTCCTAAAAAAATTCTTTCTTTGTAGATTGTTCCATTAGGATTTTATTTCCTTCCTACTCAGTAGATGGAGAAGCTAGTCACACTGCCAACAATGGCCGCTCCTCTGTGCTAGGATACAAATGGAATTTGCATGGGACAAAGCCTCTGATAATTACAGACGCCTACAGAACAATCCCCACAAAGAAATCTTCTAGTTTTTGAGAGAGAAGAATTCCCCAACACAATTTACAATTGAAATATGTAAAGGAATTTGCCTAAAAAATGTGCTGATTATATAGAACTTCAGAGGCTTCACGGGAGTGAGTTGAGAAAGGCAAGCGAGAAACAGAAAGGAATGAAAAAAATAACAATATAAGTTCAAAAGAATACACCCTCTACGCAGAAAAAGCCACTACGGAAAAACCAGAAACTTGAGCAATCAAAACACAGTCATCTATGGTTTAACTGGTATGACGGTGGCAGTCCAGCAATGGCATAAACAAAAAGGAATCTTTAAAGCTGTGTTAGGCCATCTCACTTTGGCCGTGCCCCACTTCATGCCAATATAATAAAGATATTCCCCAACTCGTTTAATGGCTGTGGCATAAAAAATAATTTTAATTGGTTCTTTGGAAACTACATGTATTTCCTACCTCCATCCATCCAGACAGCCTTCTATTCACCCACAGAAACATGTACTGAATGCTTCTGTGATAGGTGCTATATCTTCCTATAGCACAAATGTTATAAATGACAAGTGGTTCCAGATGACCCCGCAGAGGGAATTTAACTTATATTTGAAAGTAATCAGTCTGAGACACACACATGAAGCAGGAGAAACGGGGAAGCCGTCCTCGCTTCTGTCTGGAGAAGTCAGCAGAAGGCCCTCTCCCACGTCCTGTCCCTCTGCTGACCTGACAGTCTCTCTCCCTCTCATCTCTTCCTCGGGGCCCTCATGCTGCACTAAGCCGCAGGTAGATGTTTGCCCCACACAGCATTTCATCTCTAAAATCACTCATCTTCCTCTTCTCCTCTCAATACACACTTTAATTCTCTGAAAGGAGCTGATCAAAACCAGAAGCTAGCATAAAAGCAATGTGTGGAAACTAATTAATGATTAGCTGTGAATGACTGATAGCCTAACACACAAATTAAATATATAGATATGGTATATAAATAAAAAATATATAATGTTTATAAAGGTACATAAGCACTTAAGCATTTTGCATTTAAAGGAAAAAAATTAAACATATTATTATATTATTTATATAACATATATAATCTTTTTTCTTTTTAAATGAAAATGCTTATTAAATCAAATAAATTGGTGAAATTTTGGGAAATACAACTAAACAAAAACAAAAAATCTTAAGGCTGAAGAAAAACTTTTATTTTCCTTAGGAAAAAATGACCAAGTAGGAGGTTTTGCCCAGGAAGTCAGCTACCAGAATCAGCGTCAGTTAGTCATGCTTTTCATCCCTTCTTCTTCTTCTATATGCAAGGATTCTATAAATGTTCTGATTAAAAAACGAAAAACGATCATTGTCAAAGTAGGGGCGAAGGCTCTGATCACAGCAGAGTGGAGGCAGAAGCAGCCAAATCAGGAAATGCCTACCTATGAAAATGCAAAAATATTAAAGAGATACACTGGGGTTTTACCAGTCTCCTCTAACAAGAATTTGTCACAGAACTTTTTAAATCACTAAACTCCCTACTACTTATAAAGTATGACTAGGTTTCAAAAAAAAATTCAACAAATACAAAACTTTTTAGGAAAAAAATATTTTTCTGATGAAAGACATACACACAAATGGTTAAGGTTATCGGTTTGTTTCAAAGAACAAAATATGTATTGGTGCCTCCCAATGTAATGTGTAATGAAGACATGATTAAATTCTTGGGAAAAAATTTCAAGAGAAAAAGTGTGGAAATACTATATTAAGATTGGGCGTGACACCAGCTGGGCCTGTCCACGTAAAGAGAAATGTAAGGGATTCGTAAATGTTCAGGATTCCTGTCAACCACCTGTGCTTCTCTTTATACCTCTCTCCTTCACTTGCCTCTATAGGTGTTCAGTTGTTTATTTCTGCAGCTATTTCCAGGAAAAGGCATATGGGACTTGATATTTCCCAAAGGAGTTGGGGGATGGAGTAGAGACTGGTTACATTAAACTCCTGGCTCAGAATGCAAAACTTTATTCTGGAAGCTTAAGAAAAAAATGAAAGATTATTGTCTAGATTCCCAAAATATTTCCTAGTTGGTTTGGCCCCTAGATTTCATCGTTTAAATGCCTAATTGTTCGTTCAGCATGATGCAGCAGCCCGCTGTGGGAAGAGGAGGGATGGCCCCGCACGGTCCCTACAGAGCCCCTCAGGGTGATGAGCTAAGCTACGCCCCGCCTCCTCGCCAGCAGCCTTCCAGATCTTTCATTTCCTCTTTCCGATTAAGGTGACAGAAAATATTTTTAAGTGGCAACCTTGTTGGCAATCGGGTTTCCCAATGATTTCTAAACAAAGACCAGAGGCGAGAGTTGGCCAAGGGGGAGCCAAGCCCGCCAGCGCCGCCCCTACCTGCTGCGTCTGCTGCCTCTGGATCGCTCTCACTTTGGGGACAGGACTCTCTCTGGAGGACGAGGACTGCTGCCGGGACCGGCTGCCATTCTGCACAGGTTCGGCCACCAGGGCTGCAGAGGCCACCGACATGCTCCCCGTGCTACGTAAGGACGCACTGTGTGGCAGGGACGGCGGGGCTTTGGCTCGGGCACCCAGCCCGGCTTGGTCCACTTTCCGGATCTGGGCCTGCCCCGTACTGTTTTGCCGTGGCAGAGCAAGAGGTATGTGTCTGTCCGGCACGGTGTGCCGCCGGGAGAAGTCCTCGCTCTGAGTGCTGCGTTTGGTGAAATCTTCCATGCTGCTATTGCTGGGTCCACTGAGCTTGAAGTCCTCACTGTTACTTTGGCTTCTGGAGCTGGCAGTGCTTAGGTTCTCCAAACTGGAATCCACAGAGGCCTTTGGCATTGCTGGCATGGGGTTACTGAGGTGGTAGACAGGGTTCTGGAATGACAAGGGCTGGAGGCTGCCTGGCTGGTTCAAGGCTGGGTGCAGGGGCCTTCTCACTTGGGGTGCACTCTGGGGGGTGCTCTGGGTTTCCCGCAGTTGTTTGATGCTGGCCACCTGGGTTATGGAGAGCTGGCTTCCGGTCAAGCGCATAGGCACATCGAGCATGATGGATGCGTGCTCCACCTGAGCAGCGTGGGTGTCCTGGAGGTCCATGAGGGAGACGCTCCGGCCGTTAGGCAGGCTCCCTTCCTTTTCGTCCTTCTCAGAATAAGTCATGCTCTGGGAGGAGGATTGCTGAACCAGCAACAATGTCTTCCCTCGGAAATAGCTATCTGTGTTGTCTTGGCTTGGGGACTTCAGTTTATGCACATCGCTGTGTAAAAGGAAAGGACCCTTAATTATCTTTGAGGCAAATTCAACATAGTTAAGATTCCTCACCTCAGTCATGTGAACTCTTCCGAAGGCTCAAGGCCCAATGTAGATATTTACATCAGTTTCTAAATTCAGATTCCATCATTATGATTCTTAGAATAAAATCCAACATTTTAAGTTTTTCTCCAAAGGTGGAGAATAACACTGTGTATACCACTCCATCACTATCTTTGATTTTAACCAGGATTCCAATCCTTTCCTAGTTAGGTTTTAAACCCTCCCACGGTATTCCAATTCATACTCAATTGGTTCCTTCCAACCCTTCAAGAGGAGAAGCTCTGAGTGCACAACCAAAGGCACAAATCTGGCCAATACAGAAAACAGTCTAAACATCAACACCGTATCGACCGTCCAGCTGACACAGCCAGCTATACAATGGTTTTATATGAGGTTCTCTAGATTTTTAAGTGCTATGATACATGAAAATATCAAATTTACAGAGCCCTTAGTCCTCCACTAAATAGTACATATCATTCATTCTACAATATCATTCTAGAAAATAAGTCTCCTAGATCGTGTGTAGTATTATGACAAAGAACTGGATTTATCTCAAGTCACACAGTTCTTTCCCGCTGCTAGTGGCTTTAAAGTTGGTAAATTCAACAAATAAGTTAAATAGATTGTTTTGCTAAGTCTCTAAACATTCTCTCTCCAAGAGAGGACTTCAAATTCTCTCTTTCATACCTGTCAGTGGGATCTTCAAATATTTTCTGCAGCCCAGAGGAGAGGCTTCCACTGACATTGGGGCTGGAGTTGTGCTCAGCGAGGCGCCTCAGCTGCTGCTGTACTGGTGTGGGGTTAGTCAGAGACCTGGTAATATCGGCTAGAACGCGAGGCAGAGGTCCCAGTTTTGCCACGGTCGCCTGTAGGAAGGAATTTTCACCCTAGTTGGATAATAAGCATTGCGACATCCACCAGAGATTGTTTTTGGGACCACGATGCCCAGTGATGAAGGGGTGTAGGTTGGAGGGAAGGGTAGGTGTTTGCATGTGGGGGTGGCAGGTTCGTAATGCATTGTTATGGAGCAGCGGAACCGTGGCGTCGAGATGGATGGAGGAGGCGGAACAAGGTGCAGCAGACATCGAGGAAAGAAAGGAAACAGAAATTAGGGTTATGCAAATATAAATTAAAAGACATGCTCAAAACAACCAAAACATTGCCATTCCAACTAAAATAGGCATGCAAAGCAAATGAAATCTTTGGAAGGCTAGTAGATCAAGGTGGGGAAGGGGAGGGGGAGAACTAAACACCTTCTAATCAAAAAAGACTTCAAGACCAGAAGGCTGTGTGATGAAACTTCCAAAGAACAGGGATCACGTAAAGAGAGAGGTGCATGCCAACATGGAAGAAGGTGTTGCATGCAGGGGTCCAGGGCACTCAGGGCACACAGCTGAGACTGCCATCCACGATCCCATTTAATCTTGGGAACCCTGACCTACCGCCAACTGGGCTTGCATCAGCATGAGAATTTTTTTTTTCAACAACAAAATCAGGCCAACTCTCCGTATGAAATATGTCTAGATGTACTACTCTTGGTTCCCAGGACCAAACAGAGATTAAAAAGGAGAAAGTGTATTTACACAGCAAAGTCTGTTAAAAAAACCTTGACCCTGAATAAACCAAGCTGATCTCGAGATAACTGTATCTCCATCTCATTGATGCAGTTATTCAACGAAAGAATAACTAACTTTTTAGTACTTGCTTTAACTGTCTCATTTTTTTTCCTTTGGGGAATTCTTATTCTCATGGGGTCTTATGGGACCCTTCAATGTTAGGTAGTTTGACATGGCTGCCTCTGGGTCTTCTTTGTTTTCTCAACAATCAACAGATTCTTCAACCCTGCTCGAATGGGTAGAATGCCTGCTCGAATGCCACCTGAAGAATGCCTTTACATGCTCAACCTTCCTGAGCCATGATTCATCCATATTCAAGGAATTTACCCTCAGCATAGCTGCAACTGAAAATCTGGCTGGCATATCTAAAAGTGGAAAAGGGGTCCTTAAGAATGAGGACGGGTTTACCATGTTTGAAGCACTGGTGGACACCCTACCACTCACATTTCCTCAGGAAAGTGGTCTCTATTAATAGGTTTTACGCCCTCCTCCCTCCAGTTTTATTGGTGCAACATTTTTAAGGATAATAGGAAAATGAAGGAAAACAAATTCTTATCACAGAAAGATAACTTTGTCTTTTGAAGTTATTCTAACATACCACCACACTTATATATAAACACCTGTAGCAAATGAAAACATCAAAAAATAATTATTGTGAGAAAACTAGCCAAAGCATGTTAAGACAATTTTCCATTATAAAATCTATCCCTCTTTGCAAAATTCCAGAAGGAAGAAAATAATTGGTACAATATACATATATATAGTTATTAATATAAAAAATCTTAGCTTATAATCAGGAAATAAATGATTAAAAGTAATTGTTTTCTGTGGTTTCTCTGCAGAGAAAGAAACCATCTGAAATTTCAGATCCCATATAACTGTAGTACTAATAGTTAAATTAAACCCTCTGACTTGCATAATATAAAAAAAGCTCATGGGTAAAGCTAATTAAACGTCACAGTCTCAGTATTTTTCAAAGTCCACAGTTTTGTTAGCAATTACAATATGAGGCTTCGTCTTATCCTACTATACGTGAATAAGGTTGCATATGCCAATATTTGATATTAGTTTCTAGGCAAGTTGTTAGATGTTATGAATGCTTTATTTATTTAGTTAGTTATTGCAATATATATACTACACTGATGCAGATAATTACCTTAAAATATATGTAAATAATTTCATGGCCTTCTAGAATTTCCTGGTTTGTAGGGTACATATTATACTCAGCAATGATAACCATTTACTCCCAGACTTCTAGGATAAAAGGTTGCTTTCGACTAACAGAAAGCATGAGTGCTGTCACTCTGCTGATGCTCTCCAGAATCCAGGTACATCAAATAATAAATCGAGCTCTCTGTCTCCCAGCTCCCGCTACTGTTCCAGTCCACGTTACCTTATCGAGCTGGGAAACTACTTCCCACAGTAGGGAATGCAGAACGGAAAGCTCCCGGCCCAGGTCGATGTACCCATCAAAGCCTGGGGTGTTGGAGATGGTGTCTGGATTAGAGATCTCCAGAAGAAAGCGTTTCATTCCGCCCCATTCATGTTCTAAAAAATCGTTCATGAATGCCATGTATTCTTCTTTGTTACCGAATCTAAAGTGCATGGAGAGAAAACGAGAAAGAACATATTTAGGAAAAGAGAGGTGATCATTTTGAGTTGACTTTCACAGATCTATAATTTTTTTTTATTTTGGAGAGGGAAGTGACTAATACGTTTATTATCTGTAAGTGATAAATGTCAAAATATACTTTTAATATTGATATTAATACTCAAAACTTTGAATAGCTTTCTATTCTCTATTAGGTAAAGCTAAAACCCTTTTTTCCTTGGTATTTAAAGCTCTGTAATATAACCTTCATTTATGTACCAAATGTTCATCAGTATAAACCTTCAATATCACTCACTTCTTCAAAGTTTCCCAAATACATTATTAAAACTCCTTCTCCACGCCTTTGTTCATGTTACTTATTTCTGCTAGAGAAGAACTTCCTCTCTTCTTTGCCTGTATCGATTCTAGCTATCTTCAGAGCCTAGCTTAAGTCTATAAAACTTGTTCCAAAATCAACCTAGAAACAATTCTTTTCTACCAGAATTAGCTCAAATATGGGTAAATGTGTATATTCTGCATTGGCTTATAAACAAGACACACGAAGTTAAAGTAGTGTACTTCTAAGAAGCAACTATTTAAACTAAGAAAACAACCTGTCTCACTTAATTTTTTTCCTTTAGTACATTGCTAATGGAATCTTGTCTTTAAGCTTCAATACTGAGTAAGTCTGTTGTGATCAATTTTGCCAGTGTGATTCCTTCTCAGGAATTTCTATAAATTATAAAAATTATATAAACAAGAACAATTTGAAAACATCAAAAAGTAGAAAAAGTGTGGGTATCACTCAAATATAACTGCTGTTTACATTTGAGTGCATTTCCTCCCTGCTTTCTGTGTTTAAAAAATCTTTTAAGTCTACAGAAAAGTTGAAAGAATATACAATGAACACCCATATGCCGCTCATCTACATTAACCGACTGTTAACATTTTGCCAAGTTTGCTTTCACTCTCTCTCTTTATTTATGTATACTTTTTTTTTTTTTTGTGGCTGAACCATTTTAAACTAAGTTGCAGACATAACCGCTAAATATATTAGCACCCGTTTCTCCAGAATAAGGAATACCTCTTACATAAACCAAGGCCATTACCACACTAAAACTTTTAAAATTAAATTTCACCAAGTGTCCCCAGATGGACTTTTACAGATTTTTCTCCAATTCAGATCCGATTAAGATGTAGCATCACGCATCACATCTAGTCTCCTCCGACCTAAAACAGTCCCTCCGTCTTTTCCATTTTTCATGACACTGACTTGTTCGAAGGGACCAGGCCAACTGTCTGAGACAACATAACCATGGGATTTATCTGACTGTTTTTCCCAAAATTTTATGCTCAGGTTTTTGTGTTTTTGTATTGCTGGGATGATAGCATATACACCATTTGATATCCTGATTTTTTTTTTTTTTTTGGCTAAAGTTTTTAATGGCTCTTTTCATTTTATATAATTATGTCTTCATTACCCATGTTATTGGCTTTTCTTTGTAAACACTATTTATAGTGGGTGCAAATGTTCTAGTGAATGCATGCACCACAGGTTACTTAGCCATTCCTCTAAAAAATGAATATTTAAGTTGTTTCCATTTTTCTTGCTATTTATAACAACACCACAATGAGAATTTTGTAACACGAGTGATGAGACTCCCCGCCCATATCCATATTTTAGATCGCATATATTTTTTAAACAGTGGTTTTTAAAAAAAGTGGTTGTGGTAGTGACACCTACTTGGCAAAGTTAGCCAAATTTTGAATGACCTTGGCAATGAGAGTCAGAGTCCGAGACGTGCGGTCATCAGGATACTCCTGCATCAGGTTGAAAAGGCTGGGTGACATGATGGCTGGGCACAGGAAACGGAGAAACAGTGAGGCACTGATGAGCCGCTCGCTGATGTCTTGCTTGCCGCGGTTCAGGCACTGCTGCTTCCATGATGCAAACACTTCTTTCAGCTCACGAGGGAAAACACTGGGGAAGGAAAAGAGAGCAAAACCTCTAAATATAAAAGAATCATAACCCAAGAAAGCACAAGTAATCCCACTCTGGCTCAGCGCACCTCCACGCTAGAGTCAAGCAGTGAGGAAGGCCCGGTGGAGTGAGCTCCGCCTGACTCACGGCCAAGAGGTGGTGGAAAATTCACAGAAGCCCAGATGGAGACTGAAAACCCAAAGCTGTAAAACTCAGGAATCAGTGTAAATTTAGTGCTGCAAAGCGGGAAAATGGCAGGAGGCTCCTGACTAAACCATCTGGTTTAATATAGCTCACCATAATCTCCCTAAAGACTGTTCATCAAAAATCTTCCCAAATCTTACCAATTGCTGGGGTTGGCGCAATGATCAAAAATCATTAACACACCTGTTTAACATGAGTTAATATTTTAGAAAGCCATTAAGATACTTTCAGTGGTAGGAGAACGTGGTGCTAATATTCTGCATAAACTTTACATTCATGTAGACAGTTCGGGGGTTCTTCTGCTCACGAGAGAGACTTAGATTTCAGGCAGGACTGAAGTAGGGTAACTTTCAGTTTTCCCCCTAAGCCCTTCCTTTGGCTGAGAAAGAACAGTTAGCACTGTGGTGACTTTTGTGTGGAAAACTGTCAGGTTCTGTAAGCAGGGGACGGAGCGCTGACACACTCACCAGTAGGAGTTGATGATCTTGCAGAAAGCCAGCTCGCAGCACATCTTCAGGTTGCTCTGATGGTCCATCAGTTCACTGGTCGAACATTTGCTGGGATCCACTTCGCAGTTCTCATCTGACTCATACAAAGCTTTGATGAACTCTCCTATTTAAAAAGAGAAGATGGCAGAGAGCATAACTATGGGTATGTCTTCCTGAAATCAAAAACCTAGGATTTCTGTCCTGAAATGTTAATTGGGAATTTTTTCTGAGACCTGATATGGAGGGGACAAACGATTGTTCATGAAGAGTTACTGCTTTGGAACCCAAGCGGTACCACCACTCATCTATCATGCTTATTGTCCTTATCCTGGAAGTGGAGAAACAGCCATCACTTAACACCATCATCACGGTATTTATAAAAATAACAATGACACTACTTTAAACAATGACATAACTTAAAGTCTTTTATCTGAAACCACAAATATATTTAATTAGCAGGAACGCATTATTTGTTATAAGGCCCCTCAGCCAGGGTGAATAATGTTATTAGTTTAGAAGAAAAAATAATCCAAGCTTGACTGAACATAGCCCACCTGAGGTCTTAAGCGCTAATGCTGGTGCCAAACATAGATTCGAGTGAGGGTGTCCAGACTTGAAATGCGGACAGTGGTTCAGCGCAGCACAAAACTGTAGCAGAACAGCTCTTTATATAATCTGTTATGTGTTTTCCCAAAAACATTTAGCTTAGAAGCCCTGTGCATATATCCTGTCCTCTATGGGATATGTCCACATTCTCTGAAAGAACTAACCCTCACCTCCCTATGCATCCTCTACCGTACCTTGCCTATGTTCTACTGTTCCGTGTTTCACAGTTTTGTGGCATCTGTTCACATGCCTGTCTCGTCGCTAGGATGAATGCCTTTGGAGGTCAGGGGCTAGGTTCTCTTCGTGTTCAAATCCCCAGTCTATCGAATAGCTCCCAAAGCGTTGCAGGGGCTCAATAAATATTTATGAGAGCTGGTGGTAAGTATTCTTAGGTTTTTATAGGACTTTATGAAAGAGGAGTAGATCATCTGAAGATTCTTTCAAATCTACTTATATTACTTGAGGTTCAGGCTAGTTGGAATAGATTTCATGAAAGTGAACAATAATTTCTGCAAAAATTAAGTAGCAGCAGCAATCTGAAGAGCATTTTCTAGCAAAGTGTTTAGTACTGAGGTAAATGAAAGCTTTTAAAAATAGCTATGACAGAGGATGGCAAGTGATTATTTGGAAGAAAATTACTTGAAGAACAGAAAAGAAAATGGTACACAGAAAAAAGGAACGGCTTTGGAGTCGGACGAATCCAGGATCAAATCCTAGACCCATCGTCACTGACTGTGGAGCCTTGAAAAGTCACTTAACTAGTCTGAGCTTCAGCTGCTTATTTGGAAAATAACATAACAGCTCCCACCCAATGGAAAGAACTGTGGCGAGGACCAGAAATAATGCATGAAAAGACAAGCGTCTCATATGGTGCCTGGTGCTTGCAGGGGCTCCACACAGTACGTATTGTTATGTACAAACTAGGCAACTTTTAAATAATTTCCAGAAAGTGAAATGACTTACACTAGTAAAAGGCTTCTAAAAATGTTTGCCAATTGTCACAAGATTTGTATTCAACATGCTCTCAGTGTCTCCCACGCTATGTGCTTCCACACAATCGACCCCATTTAAAGAGGACCTAAGTTAAAACTAAATCGTCGGTGTCAAATACTCCAGGTAAAATTTGGTCCGCCTTTAAATTTCTGTTACAAATATTCTGTTTCGTGAGTTCCTTAAGGTTATATCGATTCTAGGGAAATAATATGAATATTTCAAATAACTTGTGAATTATAAGAATTTTTTTTCATTCTTCAAGACAAGAGTCAAATAGATAACTCAAGGGTCCGGAAATAAATCGTCTACAGTGCTCCCAAACAGAGCAAATTATTTTCATTTCTGAAACTACAGCCTATGTCTGATAATGTGGAAAGTACCACGCTGAAAGGTGAACCTTTATAAGTTTGTACCTAGAAGCTGCTTACTCGATCAAAAACTACTAAGAGAGATTTGAAAACCCATTTACATTGGCCTTCTTCCTTTGAAGAACATCAGAGCCAAAGGAGGTGGGTGCTCCCGATGTGGTTTAGAAGGAAGTTTGTGCCAAGAATGTTCTATGTGTTTTTTATGTAAATCACTAATCCATTACTCTCTAGCATCCAAATTTCATGTGTATAAATAAGTCAATAGGTGTGGACACATTACTGCTAAAAAGAATTTGCTTCTGCTACTGAGGATGGTAGCAGAATTATGGTCTTTATCAAACCTTCTATTCTGTATCTCCCAGTGGTATTTCCCATATGTCAACATGCAACCTGACTTCAATCAGAAAGGTAAAGACACTAATCGATGGAAGATTTAAGTCTGAGGCAGAGCCTGTGCAGTAAATAATCAATCTTCATTAATCAAGATAAATGAAGATTGTACAGTATGACTGGTAACTTTTAACTTAATTTTATTTGAGAATTCTTTAAGCGGTCTGGAAATACCATCTATTTTCTTTTTCTTTTTTGCTCAAAGTATATGAAATACAGCAAAACTTTATTCAGAGTGCTAGGTGTACTTATTATTTTTTTTTGGTTTACTGAGATTTCATCACTGTGAAGCTTTTTTATTTAATGCTTATTATAAAATCTTCCTCACATATATTATTACAGGCTCTTGTGATAGCAAGTAAAGTATGAGCCAGAATAATTTATTTAATTCATTGAAAAAAGCACACGATTTCTCTCCCTACGGTTAGACGGATACCCTCATCTTTCTTATTTTCCGACGTTGTAAGATCCTTGAGGGCAAAAATCTATCTACTCCCTCAACATACCTCACTGTCTACTCTTGATAGTCACATGTGACTAGTTAGCACTTCACATGGAGTCAGTGCAAAATGAAATACACAATAAATGTAAAATATCCACTGAATTTCAAAGAGTTAGTCTGGAAAAACTAGAAAACCTTATTAGTAATTTTTATACTGAATACCTGCTAATATTTGGATATAATGAGTTAAATAAAGTTATTAAAATTAGTTTCATCTCTTTCTCATTATCCTTTTTATACTGTGACTATCAGAAAATTTAGATTACTCGTACGTGACTCTATTACGTTTCTATGGGGCAGCGCTGGTCTACAGTCTGAGTGAAGCACTGGGAATGGAGAGAAAAGAAATGACTGTTCCTCAAGGAACTCACGCATCAAGTGCCCAGCACAGTGCCTTACTCTAGAGGCTGGCGCCTGAGTTCCGTGA